CAAAAACTAAAGGTAGCCGGACTAACTATGACATTGGGACGTCAAACATCTCAGTCCCCCCCCGTGACCATGGTTGCTGTAAAGCACCCGAAACGTCGGGAATTAAAAATAAGTAAAAGTAGTGAAATAAACGCGATAAAATCCGTAAATTTAGTTTTATTCAATGTATAGTGTTCGCGTAAATTTAAGAAATCATTATGTGGATCTGTATAATTCGAAATTGGGTTGGCCATGAACGAAACAAATGAGCGAGCGAAAGAGTAAGAGCCCGATTCGTTCGTTGTGTGCATAGATAGCCTTTTCTAGAATACTATTTTTTTTTTGCTGAAAATACTAACTCGTTTATAGATAGATACATTAATTTACAAGAAACTATACTTTGTTTTCTCATATTTAATGTTTCCATAACATTGAAATATATAATACAATATTAAAAAAAACTACAATAAATAAAATAAAAGTAATAAATTATCATATAATCCTACTTCCCGTGGTAGCGTGTCAAAAACGCTGGCTGCGTTTCGTCGCTGAATGGCGATACTTAGCTTCCGAGCGCAGCAGCAATGACTAGATTTCCTTTAGAAACTTTACCGCACGTGGACCCCACGGACTGATAGTCTCTATAACGAGGGCCACAAATATGTAGTCTTTTCTCAGAGAAGCATTTGCGCCGCTTATTTAAATCAGCTGACTCTGATGTCGCCCCTGTTTTAAACGAGGAACCCCTGAGATGAGAGGCTGCCAAAGTGTCTCCGAAAGTAGCATCTCACATCTCTCTATCGAGGGACCAATGTCATACCATCAGGTATCTTGCCTTCTTTTTAGTTTTTGATAATTTTGAATATTATTTTTCTTTTATTTATTCTATATGAAATGAACTTAGCAGTTGTCGACGGTGTGAAGTGTGCTGCTAAACTGCTCAATAGCTCTGAAATTTAAAATAATTATATTTAGTAAATATAACCTCGAAAAAGTCGCCCATCCCACTAATATTTTTCGGCGCGTTCTTTAAAATTTGCCCCGTAGCTATAGTAGCGCCACCCTTATTACACGGTTTCCTACGGCACTTTTTGATACACAGTTTGTACTCCTTATCTCCACACTTCATATATTCTCCTATGGGGATTGTTTTCCTTACCTCTATACTCCATGACCTACACTTTACTGAGAAGATAAAATGGCGGTTAATAGGGCAGCCCATATCGATATTTCTAAAATAATAACATCGAAAAAAGACTGAGGATGTTTTTATATGGCCACGGAGCAACGAATACACGGCACACTATCTGTGGGTAAAAATACTCCAAGTTGTCTAACTTATTTGTGCCGTTCATCTAAGTTGTTTCTAGGTTCGTCATTTTTCACGTCTAAACCGTAGAACATATTTTTATGGTAATTCCGTCAATGTCCCCATTGGCGGAACCATAATAGATGGTATTTTTTAATAAAATATAATTATTTTAATAATAGTTTAGTTTTTGTCGTATATCATATCACATTATGATCAACATACAATACAAAAAGACGTATGAAAATTTTAATTTCATGACCTACATTAGCAGAACTACCATCTGATATTATAAAGGGATGAATTTTTTTGGTATGTAAGGGGTAATCTATAGAACTACCAGTCGGATTTCAAAAATATATTTTTGATTTGATATCCCAGTTCTTAAGAAATGCTATAGCTCAGCCTATGTAACACCACGCTATGACTCTTAGAAACTAAGCAAAAAACGTCAGAAACAATGTTAAGCGAAAATAAAGTCATAGCTCGGGCAGGTAATGCGATGCGGCGGAATATGAGTCGGGGGGACAATCAATTTCTCGCTAATCACAGGCAGAAGCTAGTAATTAATATTTTTTATGTTAAATTTCTTACATCTACCATTTTTAACATGCAGATGATTGTGGGTTTTAATTAAAAGTCAACAATAATTTTATTAAAGTAAAGAAAATATAATTAAATAAATAAAAGAAAATGGTTTTAATGGGATTTTTAATTGGATTTTTACCTTAATTTTGTTATAAGTTATATAAATTATTACGTTAAAATGTGTGAATATTTATAAAATATAACAATCCTTATTATAGTGTAAGGATTTAAAGGTTAAATAAACATGCAAATAAAATAAAATTTTATTATATTTTATAAACACGAAGCTCGACCTATGATCTAGGGAAAGTGACACGGGACAGGCATGCCAGATCGGAAGACCAAAATATCTGGACAAAATTTGAAAATGTCAGGATTTTGGGATTATTTTTACTGAGTCCATCAATTTGGATTCTTTATTAGTATAAGAAAATTGCAAAAAACAACACAAACTAAATTAAACTTTTAAGACAAACTACTAAATATTTGTATTAAAACAAAAAGAAAACCATATTATTATACGCAACAAATCAAACACAGGTCACACACATTTTTACAATTAAAACTAAAAACCTTTATCATACGCTAACAAATTAAATTCAAAAAAACTTACTTAAATATTACAACAACAAATGAAAAAGAAATTAAATTAACTGCAATCAAAATATTCTAATGAAATAGAAAAATGAAATAAAAAACAAATTGTACAGCAATCAAAAATAAACGCTAAGTAGGTAATCTAAGAGATTTACAAAGGAATTTTCGAAGGAAAATCAAGGTGTGGTGTGTGATTCTCAATTTAATAAATTTCTTTGGTTTAAATCTTTGATAAGCTTTGAAGAGCCGTGGTAGCTCAGATGGTTAACACTCGCTGTAAATATAACAGAACGCGAGTAATACGAGTTCGATCCCCGCCGGCACCAATGAAATTGATAATTGCAATTTTAAGTACTGATTTATCACGTGCTCGGAAAACATCGTGAGGAAACCTGCATTTCTGATAAATAAGAAAAAATATTTCGAAAACATGTGAAGTTCGCTAACACGCATTGGGGCAACGATTTAACGCCTCAGAAATGAGGGGAGGCCTTTGCCTAGCATTGGGCACGTATATAGGCTGTAACAACAAATATTTGATAATATTACTAAAATTAACAAGTTTTTTTTCTGTCTTCTAATTTTCTTATTAAGTCTCTTTATCTTTATTAACTGTTTTTGACGTTTGTCCTTTAATTTATTTATCATTTCAAATGAGTGTACCTGAAAGCAAATAAACTAAGATATTAGTACAAAGTAATATAGAAGACAAGCGAGAGATATTTCCCACCCAGTCTCAATTCAGTCGATGAGATTTTATCATTGAGATCAAATTCGCAAAATAAATGATAATCAGTGGTCGGAGTTTGGGGTGAATGACCGCAAACATTGATGGTAACATAGATATGTCTCTGAAATCTCGGGATTTTGAAATTGTCGATTGATTTAAGTGAGTTAATATGCGCAGGTAGTAGGTGTGCACTCAAACAGTATATACTTACTTATATATACATACACAGGGATCTTGGAATGTTGTTAGTTTCGTGAAATATGAATTAATTAAGTAAAACTGTTAGAAACAATACTAAATATACTTTACTGCACAAGGAAATATTAAATGCCTACACAATACAGAATAAAAAAGGATGTAAAGAGTTTTATATATATTTTTTTATTTAAACAGAGATAAGAAATTTTTATTGATCACCTTTTTAATTACCTATACATACTATTTTTCTTGTGGTTAATATTTAGAAAATGTTTTCCGTCTTTCTCTAACAAAGCAATTTATCTCTCTTTTATTTTTATATGTTTATGCTCCATGTTGCCAACCCGTCGTACGCGCTGTTTTCGTCGCTTATTTTTTGTCTCTTTCTATCTTAAAACGTCCAAAGTATTAACTATCTCACTTACACAGATACAGGTACAGTAGAGCGGGCTTCACTCACTCTTTTGTTTCGGCTTGTAGATTGCGCACGTGTGATTTATTGTGTTTCCATTTTCACCCTTAGTTTATTTTTATAATATCTACTTACTATAAAGGGCATTCAATGAAAAACCAAAGTAATTTTCCTCTGCTAAATACATATTTTTTCATGCTTCCAAAGTTCCAAAGGAAGCTTTATAGTTTCGCCATGTCCGTCTGTTTGTCACAGCCCACAGCCATTTTTTATATTATACAAAAGTTTAAAGTGGAATTTTTCGTTAGTGACCTGAGTAGCAAGGAACTTTTTAACGTAAATTGTGCTCTCCCGCTATCCTACCTTGTAGGTGATCCGACACGCACCTGACCGTTTTTTTCTAATACTGTCCGCGCATGTGGACTAGGCGCCTTATGAACTTGAGTGGCTGTCATCATCAACTGTCCGCTGGGTCAGGAGCTGTCGTGAAAATCTCCCAAGGGCTTCGCAATGTGACCCATCAGCACATAGAATACTATAAGACACAATAGAATGGCTGTCAACCTTATTTTGTACGAGGCTTGGCGTCGCCAAATTCGATTCGCTGTGTAGACAGACTGAATAAATTTACACATTTTAGACTTTTGATTAATGTTTAAGATCATCAGTGAAAAAAAATCGTTTTAATTTTAATACATATTTTTTTGTAAATAGGGTACAATTTTGCAATTTTTAAATAATTTGCAAGCGAAATTTGGAAACGATTGTAACGTCAAAACACATCTCGAGTTGACATTTTTACGTGTGAATTGACGTGTTAGTGACATTTTAGTGGCTACGCAGGCTGCGCCCAATCACCCATTCTATTATGTATCTATTATAGTATTCTATGCATCAGCATATAGTGAAGAAAAAATAATTATGAAAATGAAGATTCTGAAAGAAATGATAGGCTCAGAAGAGCTAGAACCCAGAGCCGTAGTGGCTCTACGGCTCTGGGTTCTAGCCCTTCTGTTAATAAAAAAATTATGGTTAGTGAGGTTAGGTTAGGCTGGTTCAACGGTTCAACAATCAACATATTTATTTATCCTTTATCTATGGGCTGGTTAAATGATGAAATCATAATAAAATTATTATTATAGTACGTATATTAAAGTTTACCACTATTGTGTATACAAACATTTAAAATGCATAAAACAGGTGCAACAAGATATCAAAAGTTTCTTAAATCTGAAAAGGCAAAAACTAAATTAAAAGGGAAAAAAGGTCTACCGAAAGGAACTAATGTAACCAAAACAAATTTTAAGGTGAAGAAAATTGTCATCAAGGAACAACTTAAAAAACATGACAATACCGAAGTTTTATCTTCCAGAAAGCTCAATATTAAGGAATTGTTATCACGTCTTACTCATTTTAATACAAATGCTAGGATGGAAGCCTTATCTGGTTTAAAAGAACTCATTACCTTACATCGCCATTCATTAGAAGAAAACCTTGGGAATCTTATTCATGGGATCACACCATTAGTTTTAAATGTGGAAAAAGTGGTAAGTCTAACCAATTTGAATATATTAAATCAACGATAAATGTAAACTGACTAATAAAAATATTAATTACTTTGCAACCTTCCGCTAACTAAATACAATGATGTGTCTTACTTGCATTGAAGAGCTCCTCCCGCCCTCCCTCAATTGCATGCACTAACTCCGTCACCACTAGTCCCAGCACCACTACTCCCGGCACCACTAATTCCAACACACTATTCCAGGTAAGACACACCATCGACGATAATACGACACGTGTTTCGCCTCTACACGAGGCATCCTCAGGTGATGTAGACTCTAAGGCGGCTGACCGCTAAGTGATATGTAATATACCGCTATCACCATAGACATACATCTATGGCGAGGTGCTCTTCAATCCAGGTAAGACACATCATTGTATTTAGTTAGCGGAAGGTTGCAAAGTAATTAATATTTTTATTATAATGGATTTCCGCAAAGTAACGCCTGATTCTATCAATTATTGTAAACTGACTGTTAAAATGAAATAAAACAAGCTGTCTATGAGGTATTAAAAAATTCTTTTTTTAATTGAAAGGCCCACATGTGCCATTGAGTGTGGAATATGACATCATTCAGATGCCCGCCTTGGCTCCTTACAGTGGCACGGAATCAATTGGTCTAAGTTTCAATGACTTCTTTACATAGATCCGGCTAAATTTAAGCGGTAGCCTGTGTTATGTTGACCTTTGTGGTATCGGTCGATTGTGGTTTATTTGCATAGACCTGCGACTTCAAGAAACCCAACAAAAAAAGTCTAGCAGGATCAAATCACATGACCTTGGTGGTCAACTCACATCACCCCTGCGAGAAATAAGCTTACCCTCAAATTGTTCATGGAGAATATCAATTGTGGCATCCATGTGTGGCACGTAGCGCCATCCTGCTGGAACCACATGTTGTCTAGGTCCATATGGTTTCAATTAAGGCCAAAAGAAATTAGTTATCATCATTCTGTAGTGCTGCTGGGGTTGGATTTAGATTTAGAATTTGGGGGAGTAATTTGTTTTATTTGGTAGAGGTTTGGTCCCCGATTATAAAAATACCACTCACATTGAAAGGTAATGCACTGTTATTGAAAAAAAAAATTATAATAACTTAAAATGCGTAAAACATAGAAAAACATGCAATATCACTGTGAAAGCTGGATAGCGTACAGAATTTTGTGTAAGTGCGACAAGGATGTAGGACTACTATCATATTATTCTACTGTCTATACTCTGTCAAGTGTCAAATTGCATGACACTAATTTTTATGGATTTTGCCATTGGTTGCTCTTCTTGGGTGAATGTGTGCTCTCCAGTGTATTATTGTAGCTTGAATGTGGTCCCTAACATTTTTACCTGCCTCCGCCTATTTTTCGACAACTGCTACCCCTCCTGACTGAATCCTTTTTAACAAATGTAAATATTTTGGTGTTTTATTGAGTGAAAGATCAAGCGAAGCGAGCTCGGGACTTAAGGCATCCCGACTCTGACAGGTTAGGTTGATGGTGGGGTCTATTCGCTCGCTTCGCTTGCTCACTCGACCCCGCCATCCCAGGTTATTTTTTTTTATAAACCACTCAGAAGTAGGAGTCCAGCGAAGTGGGGCTCTTTAGACTGGGCTTCCCTCGACTCCGCTACGTGGTGCTTTCCTCCTCCAACTCTCTCCCCCATAAATCAGGTTTATAGTCAAAAACATTACGAAAACATAACCTCAAAAAGAGATTTTTAAAAATTTAAAAAAAAATTAAGCAAGTACGACAGGTTAGGTTGATGGTGGGGTCTATTCGCTCGCTTCGCTTGCTCACTCGACCCTGCCATCCCAGGTTATTTTTTTATAAACCACTCAGAAGTAGGAGTCCAGCGAAGCGGGGCTCTTTCCACTGGGCTTCCCTCGACTCCGCTACGTGGTGCTTTCCTCCTCCAACTCTCTCTCCCATAAATCAGGTTTATAGTCAAAAACATTACGAACACATAACCTCAAAAAGAGATTTTTAAAATTTAAAAAAAAATTAAGCAAGTAGTGAAAGTAGGGGGCGACAAACTAAACAAACGGCATTGTCTATGGTCATGAACTTTGAGGTCAGTTGGATCTTAAGTTTGTGTAGGCCTATGTCCTAACGCAAAATTCGCCAAGTAGAAGTCTGCGAAGGGCCAAGTCTTGTGCACAACGAGGAATCTACTGCCTCAGGTTCTGCTGTACACTTTCACAAACCGCGACGATGTTCTCGGCCGATCTTGCGTTCCTTGAACGAACCGGTTGTTTCAAATATTGATGTATCGACTGTGAAGAGCCACAACGTCTACTGTAAAATGGTCGCAATGTATGCACTAACGAACACTAATTTTTATTATAAAATTTTATAGTTTGAACATGCTATTAACCGTGTAACTTACCATAGTGATTTGGTATAAGTAACTGAATAATACACAAAAGATTTGATAGATGCTACCAAAATAAAATTACTGCCACAGGCCGCCAAAATCTACCCACACCAATAGAAAAACCCTCTGATTAGAACTTAAATGGGATTAATGTAAAACTATAGTTTTTTCTTAGAACAAATATTTGTATCATAATCATAGTCATCATCATTACAGCCCTACACAAGTACACTGCTGAACAGTAACAGAAGGCCTTCCCCAAGTCTAATAAAATAATAATATTTACATAAGTCCAAAAATATTTGATCCTAATATTTGTATAGTCTACAAATAAAAATGTTTTGCCTGGATGTTCTTTCATCAACAGTTTATGTTTGTTAATGGTCTCGTATGAAGCTCTATCAACCTAACAATAACCGGGGAAAGCATACATGCAATGAAATTTGTAGTCAAACAGTTGCTAAAACCTGATTTTGTATCTCTATTTCAAATTAGTGCTATAAAAAAAAATTACTGTTATCATTATATCCTCTTTTTATCACTTAATACTTACATGGGGCTCATAGGGTGATAGTTTATATATTCATCTTTGTAACGTTGTAATTCATCCAATCTTCACTTGCGCGGGGAAACATTGGATCTCTTCATCATCTGTTTGGATCGGTATAATCTGGCTATAACTTCATAAAACTTAGCTTGCTAGAAACTGCAAATAAAAGTGATTGAGAAAAACCGAATGAACAAAAAAAACCAAAATTATCATTTTTTCTAAAATGCCATGCAACATACTTACCAGAGTGACTGACTGGAACTTGGGGTTGGGGCAGAATGAAATGGCATTGTGTACCATATTGCTAGCATTTAAAAATACAGCATAATTCACCGGAATTTGAATCTAACGGTCTTGCCCTATCACTGATCTTAACCCAACGCACCTAAGTGATAGTTGTTTCTCATTATGTTTTTTTTATAGGATAGGATGACAAACAAGCACACAGTCCACCTGATAGTAAGTGGTTGCTGTGGCCCATAGACATCTACATCTATCCTCGATTACAAATCAAAATGCAGATGCCTTGTCACCCGTGAGGACTAAGATGGAATGCCTCGTTTCCAGTAAAAGGGGTCTCCGGTTCTCTACACTCAATATAAAAAAACAGCAGCATTAAGCTACTATTTTACGCTGGTATTATGTGAGAGCGTGGTCGTTCCCTGGTCGACCATATTATATATTGCCGTAGTTGCCACGCTTGGCGAGTGGGTTGGGAACCGCAGTTTTTTATTGCTGTTTGCTGTTATCAGAAAGATACTGCTGCCCATCTTCTGCCTGTCTCCCTCTGTCGCCTCTTACGCCACCCACGGGAAGATATGGGATAGTGGGTATTCTTACCCGCTACCGCACGGGGATTGACATGAAAGAAACTCACCTGTTGGGCTACTGTCTAATGATTCTCTGATCAACGTAATCCATCTGGTCCCTAGTAATGATGGGTCAGATGGGTCATGAGTTTTATAGAAGTAAGGGTCACAAACAAACACACAGGTCAGCTGATGGATGCTGGGATACATCGACACTTTTTTTATAGGAGCAATACGGCATACGGTTCACGTGATGTTAAGTGACTACCGCCGCCCATGAACAACTGCAACACTAGGGGAATTGCAGGTGCGTACCCGTCCTTTTAGAAAGGAGTAAGCTTTTTTCTTGAAGATTCCTAGGTCGTATCGGTCCGGAAAAATCGCCGGTGATAAACTATTCCACAGAGAGGTCGTACGCGGAAGAAAACTCCTAGTGAAACCTACAGTGGTGGACCGCCAAGTTTCCAGATGGTGTGGATGGTATCGGGAGGTTTCCGCATAGTGCGTTCATGAAATTTGGCGTCTGGGATTAATCCGAACAATTCCTCAGAGCACTCCCTGTGATAGATGCGATAAAATACGCAAAAGAAATGCAACACCCCTTCGCAGCGCCAGGGAATCGAGCCAAGATCGGAAAGCACTCGGTCGTCGACGATTCGTGCCGCTCTGTGCTGGATGCGGTCAAATAAGGAGCTGGCACTGGGGAGCCCCAGCCCAAAGATGGGAACAGTATTCCATATGAGGCCGAACCTGCGCCTTGTAAAGTTGCAGGCGGTGCGGCATGAAATACTGTCTCGCTCTGTTGAGCACGCCTAGCTTTTTAGAGACCAATTTGGTCTTCTTTTCCAAATGACCACGAAACAGCACGTCACTCGATATGTCAACGCCGAGGATCCTGATACTGGCTGAAGCATCAAGGGGAGTGCCTTGAAACTGAGGAAATACGACAAAGGGTTTCTTTTTAGCGGTTCACCCGCAAACTTGTGTTCTGAGGGTTGGACTAGATTAGATTTAGTCGCCCCCAATCCGAGACTTTGTTCAGCAAAGACTCGACTTCAGACACAGTTTGTCCCGGTACTCGGAGACATTGTCCCGAGAAATATTGGCACAAAAACCTTGTGCTCCGATCTGCAATAAAGCTGGTGATCCAATTGCCCAATTTCTCGGGAAGCCCATAGGAAGGGAGCTTTGAAAGAAGCACTTTGTTCCAAATTCGATCGAAGACCTTCGCCTTGGACTCTATTGCCTCCGCCCATTGATGAGTCAGGTAGACCTTACATTTATCTTCGAATAAGAATCAAAATGTCGAGACATTGTCACCCCTGAGGGTGCCTAAGATGGTGTGCCTTGTTACCAATAAAGAGGGTTTCCGGATCTCTACGCGCACTACATTATACAACAGCATTATGCTGCTGTTTTACGCTAGTATTCTGAGCGAGTGCATTCTCGGTAGTCTACCCATTTGTGCTGTGCCATAATAAGCTGCAGCATCCATAGAAAATGTGCAAAAAAGGTTAAACGGATTGGATACTACATTCATTGTACTCTGCTGTGATGAGCATTTTTTTTTATAGGATAAGTGTGACAAACGAGCACTCAGTACACCTGATGGTAAGTGGACTCTGTGGCTCATCGACATCTACATTTAACCTTGCTTAAGAATCAAAATGCGGATGCGTTGTGACCCTTAAGGACTAAGATGGAATGCCTCGATTCCAGTTGAACGGGTCTCCGGTTCTCTACTCTCACCATACGAAACACAGCAGCATTAAACTGCTATTTTACACTGGTCCTGCTCCGGTCGAGCCGACCCATTCATGATACAACCATAATAACCGCAGTGTGGCTCTACCACGTAAAAAGCATCCTTATTGCCCTTCTGTTGCGCATAATTACCAAGATTATCATCTTAGCAATTGCTACAAGAACATACATAAAATACTAAATGTTTTGAAATCGATAATCGATATAGTGTCATTTTGCGATAAATGCTATTCCAAATTGTCGTTCAGCAAGCCCATACCTCTAATATAGCATTAACTCAAAAAAATACTCATATGATAATTATATATCAACTACATTTAACACATAATATCTAAAATAAACAATAATTTAAAATTGATCATCAATATAGTAGCATTTTGAGATTATATTATTTTGAGTAAAAGAAATCCCAGGCAACAGGGTATTAGGTAAAAGATAATACTATATTAACTGCATACATTTTATTTATTTCTCCCTATGAAAAATTGTTCTATGGCATAACTCAAAATGATACAAACACTGTTGTCTTTATCTAACAATCTTGTATTGAAAACTGACTTATATTCAAATGGGACAGTAGTACTTGTTCATTCAATGACTGATCGTAACATCCGGTATAGGTAGCTTTTTGTCATTGTTTATTGACAAGTAATTAAAATATCAATATGTCTCTCTTACCAGTCGGTAGGGAAAAATTATTTCTGAGTTGGTTAACTAAAATATGCAATATTTGGAGTTGATACCTTGTTATTTATTAGGCGCGATATGTTTCTGGCGGCGTTCCTGTTAATTGTTTGGGAGAGTGATTTGTTTGATGTTAAACATATTCCGATTTTTTTAGTAAGTGATGACCTCATCTTGTCATTTTTTTGTGGTTAGTAGTATCGAAACTGCCCGCAATGGATGAGTCCAAGTGAGTTTGATTATAACCCAGTCTAAGATGAGAGCCCACCATGCGGAGCCCACAATGATGATAATGATAAAGGGGTTTTTAAAAATTAAGTAGCTAAGATCTGCATTAATATTAAAATGGTGTGTCGTACCTAGTTTTGAAAAGCACCTTCCCGCTCTCCCATAATTACATGCAATATCGCTACCACCTATGAAAACACACCGCAACTACACAGCTAAACGAGGCAGAAAAAGACTAGTAGTAGTAGCTAACTGCTAAATGTGCGTACATGGCTATTTTCAACCGATTTCAAAAAAAGGAGGAGGTTCTCAATTCGACTGTTTTTTTTAATGTGTGTTACCTTAGAACTTTTTTCTAGGTGAACCGGTTTTGATGATACGATTTTTTATTTCCAAGCTGGTGCTCCTCATGTGGTCCCATATAATTTGATCAAGATCTGACCAGTTGTTTTTGAGTTATCCTTAATAAATAATAATGTGTATTTAATTGACTTCGACCTAAATTGATATTCTCATTTTATTTATATTGAATTTGGTTGTACAAATTTTTAATTTTACCACATGTAGCCAATTCATTTACACATTAGACGAACGAATTTCTAACATAATTTACATTTGATGAACAAAATTTTAATTTATTATGTAAAAAAAAATATGTACTTATACATTTCACATGTTTAATATAATATATTTCCGCAAAATCACGTCTGATTCTCTTAAGAACCAAGTATTTCGTTTTACCTATTATTTATTTTGTGGTTTTACATTCAATTACTAGTAAAAGAGGCGTGGTAGCTCAGGGGAAGCACTCGCTGTAATTATCACAGTACGCGAGCAACCCGGGTTCGATCCTCGCCGGCAACAATGAAATTTTTAATTGCGAATATCAGTGCAGATTTACCATGTGAGATCTGAGAAAAAAGAACAAAAATATTTCGAAAACATGAAGTTCGCCAACTTGCATTGGGGCAGCTCGGCGGACACTTTCTTGCCCTAAAATCTTCTTAGCAATGAAAGGAGCGCCAGTGCCAAGCAGTAGGGCGTATAGTGACTGTAACTTTAATTAGTATTTTGATCATTCATAAGACTTAAGACTAACTATTTTGATCTCTTCTGTTTTATTATATGTTCTAAAATTTATGTATGTAATGATGTTAAACAGCAGAACTTTAGATTAAAATGCATGCATAAATTATTTTAATACTTTTTTAATAGATTAAATATTTTTAATCTATTAGTATTAAAATAATTGATAATTACTGTTTAATTATTATTTTTTATGTTTTCCAGGTACGGCGAGAGTCAGTTAAAGTAGTACACATGTTGTTATCTAATGTAGATATTGAAAAAATAGATCCCTTCTTCGATGTATTATCAACTTATTTGAGAAGTGCTATGACTCACATTGATAGCAGAATTCAAGAAGATTCACTACTATTTCTTGATATATTACTTTTGTGTACTCCAAGACTGATAGCTAAGGATTTTCATAAGATTATACCAAATTTCCTGGATATGATATCAAAGTTAAAAATTGATTCCAAGCAAGGGAGGACTCTGACTGTTAATTTGAACAGCCAAATTACAAGTGTTAAATGGAGAGTAAATGTATTTCATCGTTTACAGCAGTTCTTATATAAGTTTGCTGAACAAAATGAAGTGTACAAAGAGGAACAGTTACTTAACAAGACCACACACACATTTGATGCTTTGAATAAGAATAACTTTCCCTTGTTTAACCCAATTTACACATCAATTTGTACTGTGTCGTGCTTTTCATCTAAGAACTCACAAAATACATTGATTTCTGATGAAGTAGAAAAGTTCGCATCTTATGTCGAAACATTAATGCCTTTACTTTTTGAAATTTGGCTTGAAGCATGTCCTAACATAAAATCAGACAAAAGCATTGAAAGTGTTATTACAGAAGATGCAGCAATATTACTTAAACACACTCTTGAAGTAATTTCTTTGCTTTGGAAGCTTGTTAAGCACTTCAACAAAAAGTACCCAAGTTCAATGATACAAAATACCTTTACTCAAAGATATAGATCTTTATTTAGTCAACATTTTGTTGCTTCATTTCCTTACGTAACTAATATAAGATCAAGATTGCCAAAAAATACTGAATTACCATTTGAGGACATAATAACAGATCCCAAATTAGTTGCTGAAAATTTAGAAATATGCTATTTGTATATTACAATTAATCCTAATGTAAATATAAAAAGTCATCAGGCTGAAGTTATGTCTGTTCTTAGCTACATCGAAAAACATTTCTCCAATCATTCTCAAGAGGTAAATACAGAGATTGCATTGAGAATTTTGCATACCATATTCTCGAAAGAAGTTACTAGTTGGACAAAAACATTTCACGTAGTGGAATCATTGTTCAAGAAAATAGTTTCGACTTATTTTGATGTAAATATATCGACATCTTATAAACAGCAAATATTTGCATTGCTATGTAAAATAGCTATAAATGAAAGTTTACTTAGTTTTCATGCTAGCGATACCTATGAAGCTTGGCTCAAAAATTTACCTGATATATTGCTAGAAGAAAACATAAACACCCACACAATTGATATTTTTCTCAAGTTTGCGGTGACTAACAATAAACTTTTTAACAGTGTAATGAAACCTAAATTGACAGTTATTATCCAGAATTTACCTAAAATAGTTGTAATCGATTCTACAAGTGGCAGCAATAGTTATTATAAATTGTTTTCTTTATTGTACTGGGTAAATGCTTGGGACGAACAGTCTTTTAATTTGTTAGAGCATCAGATTATGAATAACGAATATAAAAGTGATTATGGCAAATATATATTAGACGTATTGAAATGTAGAAGTGAAAAAAATATAGAGAAATAAAAAGAATACAAACTTTTTGCCTTTTATTGATTCAAACACAAAAATCCAATTATAGTTCACTAGCAAAATGTACAGAATTACCGCGAATTTATACACAGACACTAGATTAAGCGATGTATTCACGCAGTTAAAATGGAAATACAGGTCTTTTTATACAAATATTGTAAACATATTTGAAATTTGAGCTTTTTATGTATCCGTGTAGTTGAAGATAATTATTCCCTTACAATTTTCGGAGTCGCTCTGTACATAGACAAACAATAGTATCGAAACAAAATTATCAACACAAAATACAGTAAAATTTCATTCTAAAACAAACACAGTCACGTATTATGAAATAATTATTTAATGGATAATAAAATCACCATGTGTAATTGGATGTAGGTAGGTGCGTAAATATTCACAGTAACGTTTGAGGAACTAATTCACAAGACAGCAAAGAGTTTGCGGTACATAAAGGTAAAAATTGCATATTTTAGATAATTGTACATGCATCACATCCAGAACTGAACTTTATATAAACTGATGACTCTCAACTACATATAAACTTTATATATTGTTTTCATAATCATTAAAATACTGTCAGTAAAACATAATTTAATGTAGGTACTCATTTCAAGTGTGAGAAAATGTATATTAATTACTATAGGGGCTTATGCCATTTTACCAACAACAAATATCTCTTTTAGCATTAAGGCGGCCAAACGTCCCGCATTCTGCGAGTTCGCCCATAGCTGTTGTAATTCCGTATAGCAATAATTATTAAAATATTGCCGCAAAACTTCTAATGCGTACTGCGTTCCGAAATTGTTTAATTCATAAATTTCAAAGTCTAACAAATGCACAAAAAATACAGTAGCCGGTAGGTATTGTTTTCGCATCGCGCGGCAAGCGCTTCTAAGACAGAAAGAGAAATAAAAGAAAACCAGATTTTGATTAAATATCCTATCAAGTGAGAAATATGACGATTATTTTGTTTCTAATCTTAAGTGTAAACATAGACCCCTCCTTTTCCAAGAATTTGAATTTTTATAAATTTGGCCGCCTTACATTTACACATTTATGAGTATTATGTATGTTTACATGTGATTAAATTAAAGTGGGAAGCATATGCTCCCATAGTTTGCTAAGCTTTTATAATATCATAAAAAGCCTCACTAATTTTATAATCTAATTTCGTAATTCATAAGTTTATATTAGAAATTTATATATTAATATGTAATCGATTGCATTACACGAATATTTGGCATATTTTGGCAAAATTATAAATTTCAAATTGAGTCTTCAAAAAAAACTACAAACGAACTCATAAATAAACATTGTATAATGTATAATATTACAAATTGAAGGCGATTTTTTTTTTGAGAATTACGTCCTCATAAATAAATTGACCTAATTCTTAAATATATAGCGCATTACATGCAATGAGTTAAAATGGTAACTGTATTACTTGCCCATTTTAAAATTAAAAATTTGCCTTTAACTAAAACAATCATATTGCTACGATACTATGAGCGTAGGTTCATCAATCTTAAATTTTAGAAGAGAGGATCTTTACCATCATTGTTAATCATGTTCTAAGATCACAACATTACAATTAATAAAATTTATTTTATTTTAATGTAACTATAATGGTTTATTTAAAAAAATTAATACTGATATTGGAAGAGCTTAAAACAAAAAAAATTAATGTCCCATTAATATAAATATTAAGAAATAAATCTTTATTATTAATTTTTCATAACGTTACTCTATATACTTCTAATCTTTATATTTACGAAGTACTTAAAGCAGAATTTATCCAAATGTACTAAATTATTATGTTATGTTTATAGCAAATAACAATGGGGCAACACATTGGCAATCAAGCAATATATTTAAAATGACGCTAAGGGAAGACAAAACAATTTCTCAGTTTTAGTTCAGAGTGCACGTCTGCATTTATGATTTATTTTCTCGATGATTGCAAAGTAATTTCATTTTGCCTATATTTTTATGTTATTATATCTTATTTCGGTGTATAATGGCAATTTGCTAATTAAAACTAGATAGAAAAGCATCAGCATAATTATAGAAGAAAAAAAAACTAAAACTCGGCCTTTACCACGCCGTCGACTTTGTCAAAATATCGACATTCAATACATCTGCGAATGCTCGTTATGATTCACTAACTGTGTAATATATACATAGTTATTATTAATACTTTGATAGAAAGTGTTTACTGAGTTTTCCTTTTATTAGATTTTTTTGCACGGGGTATTGTAGCAGAAGCCGACAGCATTGCCTGAAAATAAAACAAAGAAATTGAAACTAAGTCAAAAAGCAGAAGCTTTTTAATTTAAGGTGTTATTTTTCTGAATAATTGAAATATTCAGAATGTTTTTGGACAAAAAAATTAAACGAAATAGAACAGCAACATTGTAAAAACGAAGCAATAAAAAGTAAATATAGACAAACGGTTATAACTAAATAAAATTGTAAATGTTATAGTGACTAGGTAACAAATAATCGAAATAAGTTTTTACGATTTACGACAAATTAAGTTGAAAAACTTAAATAGTCAAATTACTATAGTTTAAAACCGACTTATATAATAACGATACGAACGATAAAATATCCAGTTTTGTTTGTACCTCCCTTAAAAACTACAAGAAATACAGTGAATAATTTTATAGTAGCCTTTAAAAATAGTCAAATCATTTTGGGGCAATGGAGAGGCCAACAGAATTTCGTTTTCGCAAGACAAACATTAGTTCATACAGGGTTTTAGAGACCGGCCTTTAAAGAAGTTGAAGTTACTTAGTTACAGAATGAATCGAACATCTAGTTAAAACGTACATGTCGCTGATATAGCCAAACTTAGTACTTATTAATAAAAAGAATAATTCTAATTTAAATCAGTGGAAAATCTTTACTATATAGAGAAATTAATATTTATTTGCGATCTAGTCACCATTACATATACTCTTAGTTATATAACTGAGACACTACTAATACATACACACACACAATATTATGGATATGTTATAATAATTATTATTATTTTACAAGGTTACATAAATTAAAGTTTTGGGAGCCTTAACAATTAAACTAGGCCTGTATCGATCGATCATTAGTTATGACCTAGACTGATCGTAACCCATTGATTGATAAGGTAAAGTGATCGGGTCAAATGATTCTATCATTCTTCTATCGCGCATCATTGTTCACGATATTCATTTAATATTTAATTTTTCATGTATATTTGACCTAATTAAGTAAAATGATAACAACTTTATTGAAGTGGGTTAACATATATTTTATGTACATTAAATAATACATTAAAAGTTTATTATTTTTTATAAACCACACTGAAAAACAAGTCATGATGCGCGGTATTCCGCTCCGCGTAGCACGTGCGATGGTATCGTGCCGCGCGCGCGTCAACTCGCCCAGCGAATCAGTGAGGTGCGGGTTGACCATAATTGAATCTTTTGGATATCCGTTAATCGATCAATCACCGAGTTGTAAAAATCGGAATCATAGTGATTCGATCAATCGTTATCGACACAGACTTAATCAAACGGCACATTTATAAAGCATATAAAGAAATATAAATTAATAAAAAAAAAAAACACGTAAATAGTCATGCAAAACCAAAAAAACTAACACAAAACAAAATTTTAAACATACTGGTTCTGCCTCGCTGACATTTAATATGGAGGCGAGGAGTTATTACACATCTGTACTTATAGATGTGGTCAGGATTTCATCATTTAAAGGAACATATTTGTACTCTGGATGACTTTCTATTTTGGCTTCGATAAGTTTCTGAAGTACATCACTTTTTTCTACAATATTTTGGGTCGTACTTTCGGTATCAAATTCTTGCGCGTCTTCAAAGTTTATAAAGTCTTTAGAATTTTTTCTTAATGGTATTTCTGTTATATCGTTTGATTCGTTTAAAGGGGCATAAGCATCTTCGTTCTTATAAAAGCTAGGGTGGTCAATTGAACTTCTTCTACTTTTGTCATCAGAAGAAACCGAGTTATTATCAGAAATGGATTTATCTTCGAATTTATGCCAAAATGTTAATTTACTTGGTAACTGCAACAATTTTCCCAAACCTGAAGCGCTTGGTTTGGGTATTCTTGATGGGGATTTGAATTTCTGATGTCTATTTATTTCACTGACAGGATTAAGGGTTTCCGGACGACAGACAGTCAAGTCTGTTTGATTATTGTATTTTTGCTTATCTAATTCCTTTAATTTACTATCGATATTCATAGTAATTTCTTTGGAATCAGTATCATCAGAGTCAACAGTTTTAACAAAATCAATTTTTGGTGGAAGCGGAGCCTTGTTTTTACCGTATTTGCCTTTTAGATTTTTTCTGATCATTTTAGGAGAATCACTAGGTGTTCCAAAAGAGGCTTCATCATCAGAAGAATAATAATCAGTCGGTTCTGCTGAACTATTTGTTGCTAAATTGTCAGATACGCATGCAACATTGTTTTCATTACTTTTTTTAAATTCGTTGTCATTTTTATCGTTAGCATCTTTGTCAGCAATCGTACTGTCTATTAGAACCCCAACAATTTTAGGGCTAGAGCTTTTATTTTTATAGCTATATGCTTCCTCAATACCTAAATCATTACTTATATATTCTTTATTATTTGCTGTAATGTCATTGGAATTATTTTGTGAAGTAGTTGCAATAATATGTTCCTTTTCTATCCTATTTTCAGTAAACATTTCTTTATTGTCCTGATGATTGGACTGATAACTATTAAATCTTATTTCATTATACAAAGGCATTTGCCCTAGAACTTGTATAATTTTAACCTGATCCCCAACATATTGATAAATAAACGGAGGGTTTGTGTGGGATAAGTAAAGATTGGACGATATATTAATAAGGGAAGGCATATTTGCACAATTAATAGAGTCGTCGTCTTGTAACTCCTCGATGAGAACTTCATTATCCTTTAAATAAAAATGCCGTAAGTCTAAATCAAAGTAAATAAGAAAAATTGTAAACTAATAAATGCAAACACAGACTCATAATAGTAATCAAGTCTTATAAATACTTCTAACATGCATTCACACTTAGAGAAACATGAATTGGTGAAAATAAAAAAGTTCACTTTGATGACTATAAAATGTTGTTTTATGTGTATGGTGTTTTATACGCAAAACGAAATTTTAAAGTCATAAGTGAGAATTAATTGTAACCCTAATTCAAAAAATATTAGAAATTATTTGTTTCAAATGATCTTGTCTAATTGCTCTTTCTGTGCATTTACTTTAAAGCAAAATTATCAAAGATAAATAGTGATGTAAATAAATAGAACTCAAAACCGCCTCACGAGACTTCTTTGTCTTAAGATAGCGTCGAGCAAAATAATTCAAAACGGTAATCACGGTTTAGTCGCTTCAATATTACCATAATAAATGAAGGGAGAATTATAAAATTAACGCAATAAAGAATGTGTTACTATTATTCCCAAAATAAAAAATGATGTTTTGTATTAATTAAAAAAAACTGTATATTTTTATATTTATAATAAGTAGTATCTATGTTAATTTAGGTAAAAACGGTATTTTTATCTGCACCTAATACAACCCATTGTCCATCTTGTTCTCTCAGCGCAGTCTTAATCGTGGATCTAAGGAGTTTTTTCATTTTCGTAGGAACTCTATTATATAAATTTTTTATAACTTTCTATATAATTTATTATTGATTATATTAAATATTTCAATCAAATATATATTCATATTTCATGCCTATTTATTATACGATAAAAAATTAATAACTCTGTTTAAAAAACAGTTTATTTCTCCTACAATGTATGAGCCAGCACCAATACTACCCTGCCTTTTATATATGCTTTACACCACCATTTCATTAACAATCTTTTCCGTCCACCTATATGATTGGCTTTGTATAAAAATTGTAAAACATTATTTTTATAAACATACTAATTATTGTGATAGAAAGTTATATAATTCTATTTTTATCAGTTTACATAATCAACTACATTTGATAGAATACAGTACCATTTTAAATGGATTATATGGTGATGTTTGCGCAGGAGAAAATTTTCGAATCGAGATGTAATATTTATTGCATTATTAAAAGCAATATATTTTCGACAATATTTACATCCGTTAAGGATGAACAAATTTCTATTTTAAATAAAACGACAAGGTTTTGTTTCGATCTGGCACATACAAGCACAAAATAGTTATTTATTGATCGTAACTCTTTTAGAAACGAGAATACTGTGTTTAGTAGTGGTTACATACATAGTTTTTTTACATGTATTTTAAATTGTCTGTGTATGTAGCTCGATTCGACAATTTTCGTTACTTTAAGGCGCAACAGAAAACAAATCTTATCTCTATAAATTATTATATTCCATATATAAATTTTGATCAAATCATCAAAAAACGACGCTAATATATTTTGTCCTCTTAAATTTAGGTTAATATAAAATTTAAATATACACGTAACGCTTATACCATAAGTGCGCGAGGCTTGTCTTCTGTCTAGGCAAGCGTAAGATGTTCGTGAAGTGCGACTGATAGTCAAGATCAACTTAGCGATGGGACGATTGTTACTGAAATATCAATCGAATAAAGTAGCCAATGCGAAAAGGACATCGTTGTTGTAGAAAAGTGAACATACATTATAGATGCTTATATATGAAATATAAGTATAATATAACGCAGTTCAAGGACATTACTATAATATATTAATTAATATTAGTGTCAAATACTACTGGACTGATAAAATCTTCCGCTCGCCAGATGTCGCTTGTTGGGATTGAGGTGAAGTCATTTGTTACACAATGTCATTATAACTGAGAAGTTGTGTTTGAAATAAAAGTTCATCGGTTTCTAG